AAGAAGCGGGCCGAGGAGAGTGGCAAGGAGAAGAAGAGTGAGCCCAGCAGAGAAGAGAAGGCTGAGGAGACGAAAGAAGGAAATGGAAAGTCAGAGATCGAGAAGCCTGCACCAGAAGATGGACCTGCAAAGCGGAAGTCTGGCGGTGACAGCTCAGCGTCGACAACCGCAAGCTCTGGTGACAGGAAGAGATCAAAGGTGGAGAAGGAAAGGAACGAGAAGCGTGGAGACATGGGACCAACAGGCTCGAGTCCTGAAAAGAAAAAGTTGAGGTTTGACGAGGTTGAGTTGGAAAGTCCAGACCCTGACGCAGAGGACTGGTTGGGGTTTGTTTGTTTATATATTCAAAGTATGTGTTTATCGAACCATCCTTGTGTAGCAATACCTACTGCATCTGCCCTGAGGCCGATGCTCAAAGCATGGTTGACTCACCCGACGGCACTTTGCGGAGACCAGTGGAGCGGGTTAGGACTATGCCTAGCCTTGAAGTTCTCAGCTCAACCCCTACGACGAGCTCCAAATCGGCTTCTTTTGAGGACCACATGCATTTGTGTTTTGACCTATAGGTGTATGATGGTGTATGCACTCAGCATGCACGCAGGACAGTGCAGCCAAGGTTGATGACAAGAAGGGTACCCATGGACAGCGGCGGATGGATGTGAAGAACTTAAGTCAAGAACAGAAAGACCTCATAGCTAACATGGCTACCCCAGCAGACATGAGCACAGAGGAAAGGAAAAGACAATACAGTGCACTCCGACGAGCTGTAGTGAAGTCATGCTCAGCACCATTGCTGGCCAAGTTTCAACTCTGTTCGGACAGTGAAAGGTCTGGGGTTGGAAAACCATGGACAACCTGTTTAACACGAGTTTGCACGTGTTGAAAACTGCTGAACACAAAACGAAACCCATGCGTGCTCTCGGTTCCTTTTTGACACAGCCTTACACGACACTCTCCCTGATCAAGGTTCACGATGTTGAAGCAATGGATGGTGGGCGAGGGACACGTCGATAGTATCTCCGTTGAAGAACGCTTCGTCAAATGGAGTGAAGAGATCCGCTCAGACAGGTATTGCACAGTAACTTTGTCTAATATATATAGTGAGGAAGTGAATCATGTGCATACGCAGCAAGTGGTTGCATCCCTCACCCCAATTGCACACCTCCGATAGGTATCCATCCTACAGCTTGAGAAAATATACGGAGATTCACAAGAAGCGCAAGATTTTATTGCAGAGGTTATCAAAGGCCTGGAATGATACCAGCTATTTCCAGTCACACTTCACTACCCCGCTCCCTCCGGGCCTTCTTCCATTTGCAGGCCAAGCAGGAGTGCCACATCCACAAGCACCAAATTGTCCCAAAGCCCGGCTCTACAAAGTCCTCAAGGAAATCACCGAGAATATCAACTCGGGATCGAGGGGAGAGACAGCCCTTTCAGTTGGAGGGAGGGTGAGATCCGCTGAAATGAAAGCTCTAATTGCAAAGCAATTGGGCCAATGTATCAACAATTTGGAGGGTGCTGCACAGGTTGATCTCAAGACGGGGAGGATCAACTCAAAGAAGCCTAAGAAAGAGAAAACTCAATCACAGTTGGCTTTAGATGAAGTGAAGAAACTGGTCACAAAGTTTCATGAATGCATTAGGGTTGTGTGATCAAAGCACGGATTCCATGGATCATGCTGGTACATCTCAGGTTCAAGAAGCTGAGCAACGAGATTCCGAAGTGCATCAATGAGTTGAAAAGCCTTAACGTGCGGAATTCCGGTGAATTGGCATCTTCCCAGCATTGGATGGATGTAGTGTCAATCAACATCATATGATCGAGCATGATATATATATATACTCTCTATCGTCTCAGGTCCAAGTCTTGACGGCGCACAACCAACGTGTCGGGGATCTATGGGTTGCTGCTCAAAAAATGGCAGACCTTCCTGCATCTGATCTTCTTCACCATGGTGTTTACGAGTTTCTTGATGAACAAAAGGAGATTTTGAAACCGATGGAAACCGACTTGCGGGATGGCAAGCATCGCATCTCCCTTGCCAAAGGGCCTCGCAAGAATAAGTCGAAGCCGCAGGGAGAGCTCCACGAAGCCAGTTCTGCGGGAGAGTTGGAAGGGTCCGGTGAGGAGTGATGACACAACATGCTATAGATTCGATCTATAATAACTTCAGCCTGCTTTGACCTCTCTCGATCCAACAATTTATTGTTTTGCAAACAGCGGACCCTTTCGAAGCAGTTTGGAAGATCCACCTAACAATTGGTGGTGTATTATTGCACATGCTCATGCCATAGGTCAGGGTGCAGGCTTTGAACCAACTATGTCACACCCTGAGAGGCTAGAAGCAACTCTTTACTCGACAGGCCTTCAGGCTTAACACGACATTTTGCTTGGAACCCAAATGACTTTGGTTTGGACTGTCGAGAAATGTTGAGAAATCCGTTGGGGATCATGATCTATACAGATCGTGCTTTTGATGGGATGGGAGAAATATATGTTCAACATGCGGAACTGTTCAACATGTCGGAGTGGACCCTCGGTATTCGATTACATGTATCTTGGCAGTGTGATGTGCTCTTATTTGAGGCCTACATCACCTCGGCCACAGGGGAATGCTCAAGGGGTATAGTTGAGCACTTGTATCATCACAGTGGTGTACTATAGCTATGTAAAATCGATCCTTTTAATTTTACCGAACAAGCTTGTAGCCTCGCACATGCATATAGCAATGTTGTGGTGTTTTACAATTCTGATAATCAAACCTTAGTACACGATGATGACTTCCAAAGACTCAGCCATGGGGCTTGTTGAGAAGTTCTTGCAATTGGGTCGCAAGGTGCCTTTTGATAAATATCAATAGAACTCATGGCTGGTGCCGGTGCATGTGTAAAGATTTCTCGTAGATCTATAGTATCGACCGCCATTCTATAGTATCGACCACCATTGTTTGCAGGTGTCTGTCTCCACCTTGATGGAGCTCTTTGAGACTATACAGGAGCATTTTCCTAGACGACTCCTACCGAACCTTGGTCATAGATGTATTGTACGTGTCGCAGTTTACGTTTTGGTCTCGGGACTGGGGACTATCCAAGGAAGAACCTCCAGGATTTGGTACGAACCCAAAACAAATCTGGTTCAAATGCACCACGGAATTTCTGGCGGTGGACTGCAACTCAAAATTGGAGACAAATGCTTCCACTCCCGTTCGAGCATCCTGGCACAATATACTATATATATATATACATGTAGCGTATGGGCCGGTGTAATACGTTGACTGTTGGTTTGCCTAAGGGTGACCGTTGTGATGGAAGACAAATCACGGACGGAGCCACACTTCTTGGCTCCATGGCATGTTTTTTTTGCCAAGTGAAGTGCAGCCTAGATGCATTAACCTGTGCCAAAAAAATATGATCCGACATGTGCATTATTCATGCATGTGAACTCGAGGTTCGCCCACATATATGCTTACGACCGCCGTCTTTTCGCTCAACGATTTCTTGGCGAACCTGGGGTTTCTTGTCATGCTAGCGTTGTTTTTTTTTGAAGAGTCGATCAATTTAGTGCCAGTCATTCAGGACTTGATGCGGTTTTGGAATCACATCAAACACACTGACTTTTTCAAGAGTCATCCCATCCTATCGAACCCGGCCACTTGTCGCAACAGAGTTTGTGCAAAGTTCATGCTGCTTGCCAAGTTTAGCAATACAAACCGAAAAATACAAATCCGTTAATTAAGACCTCAGGAGACGGACCTCAACAGATGCATCCCATTAGCTGTGCACAGCGATGACGGGGAAGCTCATCGCCGTAGATCGTTCCTGGTAACAAGCTTCAGCTCTGTCTTGACAGGAGGAGGTGCATGGGAGAGTCGCCTCTTGCTGTATGTAACAGACAATGCCAAATCTTGCTCGGCTACCTTTGATGGCCTAGATAGTTGGATTGCATGGTCGTTTACTGAACTTGCCAGTGGCCAGTGGTTTGGTCATTCACCATGGGGCGAGCCGTTGGATTGCAGGAAGGACCGTTCAGGATCTCAGATCGCAGGTGGCTTTTGTGGCATCCTTGTTGCACATCGCGGTGACGAGAAAGCGATGGCCAAGGCATACCATTTCAAACGAAATTGGTTGTCCGCCAATGTGTGCGCCCGATGTTCTGCAAGTAGACTATCGGATTCACCATACTTGTACACTGCGTTTGGCAAAAATGCACCCCACAGAAGCACCGCGATCAGCTTGACCTCTTTTGTGGAAGATCTTTGCGATTCCAATGCTTGGGTCAGGGTTCCAGGTTTCCACCCAACCATCATCCAGTACGATTGGTTACATGTGGTGGACATTGGGCTCACTCCTGAATGTGCAGGAAGTGTTACCTGCATGCACTAGTGACCACAGTAAATGGAACCACGCTGTATCGATCATGCACGGTCTGGTATTTAATCATTGAACACGTTTCTGTGCTGCAGGCTTTGATTGAGTTATGCGAGCTTGGTGCCTGGAAAGGCTCGGTACTTTAAAGCTGCCCGATATAGTTGATCACATATGTTCCGTAGCGCGAGGTTCCACAATGGATGATCGGTTGAGGGCTGCTTATACGGAGTTTTGTTCGGTCTGCAAAGCCAACAAAATCCGAGGCTTGAAACAAGTTATGTGAACATGAGATATGTTTCATGTGGGGGGTGGGGCCAACCACATTTGTATATAAGGAAATAGAGGACAATTCTATTGCTTGCTCCTTGGAAGAGTATACTTGTTATACAGATGCAGCACTAGGCTAAGCTTCAAACATGCATTGCACGCATGTTGCCACAAGGAAGCATTTGGTCCCAAATACTCGGAGCTATCCAACGATTGCACAGAAGCATTTCAACGGAATGGTCCATGCCTGAGTTTTTTTTGTGTCATGCAGTGGAATCTCCTGTGTGGCCACAATGATCCAATTTCATTTCAGGAGAGTGTCATTTTGGCACGGTGGCTCATGGGAGTCACCATTGCTTTGGCGGCCAAAGCTCCAGAATGTGTCCACAGCCAGTGACTTGGCAACGATCTGAAATTGGTCGACACACTGCACGTGGTGTATCATGGTGAGCCGCTGAAGATCAATTGTGGTGTAAGGTTGAGAGCTGCGATATTTGTCAACTTGGTTGAGATGCGAGCTGCCATATCATTGAAATTTGGTTTGATTCTCCCGCAATAAAACTTGAGAAGATTGGAGACGGCATCGTATTTGTTTCGATCGGCGCATAACAGCCCCTTGTGTGCAATACATGTACGAGTGTCACGGACGCATGGTGACTAATACAATTTGATGGGTCCCAGGCCTAGCGTATGAAGCGATCTTGCAGCGAAAACTATTGTGGAAACTGAGACCCAAGCTGCACAAGCCTGGGTCTTGGCTTGACATGTGTAAATTGGTGTGTGCAAAAGACGTACCATGAGGTGCACATATGATCCAGGTTGGTTTTCCCCAAGGCTGGAGCATTTGATCTACGATCAAGCTCCAATTTTCTCACCATTGTGGGTCAGTTGTTACAACGATGAAGATATAGTATCTCAGATGCAATCATTGACATGCGTGCGCTGGTTTTATTTGCTGATCGCAACCCAAATCAGCCACCCAGGTGGGAAAGGTGAAATCTATGAGCGTGATTGCCCATCCAAATTTGATGGGTAGGCAAGTTCTGGAGCGCTACGCCTGCTTTGTAGGTGTGCGATGGCTTCGATTGTTGGAGAGCCGGGTGTAGCAACGTGTTATAAGCTAGCGTGCCAGGATGCTCTAAATTTGATATATTGAACCACCATGAGCCACCACCCGGTTCCCCTTGGACTCCCGACCTTGTCACGACGATCTCTTGCTCCGCCAGCGCCAAAGAGCTTTGGGTGTGGAAAGGTGAGGTTGGGTTTGAAGCGGCGTATATCGATATGTTTAAGTAGCCTTTTGATATAGCTAGTATTCTTTGATATTCACGATAAGTGACCTTGTTTTGTTTTTGATATTCATAGGGTCCCAAACCACCTATAATTATCGAACATAAAACAAGGTCACTTTGAAGATGCTGGTATATTATATATATATATATCATATGTATACCTGGTTCTTCAGAGTGACCGTCCTTGATATCCTGAGGTCACAGAGAGCCTCCCAAGGTTCACGAAAAGGAACCCTAGAAAAAGGTCACGAGCTGAAGAAGCTGGTACTGTACATAGAAACACTTTATATAGGGTACTTTGAGTGGTACTTTGACATACTCTGACCATCTCCATGTGGTGCGTTTGTGGGACCATTCACAGCACGTTGTGCAGACATTCTCCGCGTTTCAGCAGGCAAAGATAAAAAAGGTGAACGAGCCTACATCTTTACTGATGGAGAGGACACGCCGAGAGGGGTTGCGATTGAATATGGGGCAAGGAAGGGCATGCAGAGCGAGTTTCATATTTTTTTGTGTGAGGTTGAAGGCATACAAGTAATGCTTGAGACCAATGTACCTGTATACCTGACCTGTGTGCCTTCGAGCAGATCAAAGGTTCTGGTTTTGTGAGCGGCTCCGTTCCAGCCTTGATGGGACGAGATGGCCAAAGTCTTCAAGCATGATGATTGCGTAAGGCTCTTCAAGAATCATCTGGAGTCTTTCAAGGTAGATTTATTGCACAATTTTTGCTGCAGGATGACTACACTCTAGGCCGTACAAGGTGATACACCTTACACTCCCTGAACTATCAGAATTCATAGTCATTCATAGTAATTCTGTAGGTGGAAAAGCACCGTTGGTGCTCGGAGGTGCTTCTGGTCATCCCGATTTCTTGGGGCCATGCCATCCATGATTCCCAGGGCGTGTACGCCTTCCCTGCGGTGGCTCGCGCCGTGTGGTTCCCGCTCGGCCCAGCCACAGCCAGTCCAAAGCCATTGGAGCCCGAAGGTTGGGGACGGTTCTCCTAAAACCCGCCGTCCATTTTGTGCTGGTTCTATGTCATTCTAGGTCGGTGTTTTATCTGAACTCATGGGTTTCTTCAAAAAAGGTGTGTATTTGAACCGAAACTGGTTATGAGTCATGAGGGGAGTAGCGACACCCCAAGAAGGCAAATGTTGAAGGTGAATCTCCTGTTGGAACTCTGGTGATTGGCATCTTCTGGGGCGTC